GCAGCGCTGGGACGAGGACGACCTGTTGAGCACGGCGTCGCCGTCGCCGGCATCATCGACGCAGCCGTTGTCGAGCCATCGCGGGCGCTGCCGACGCCACCGCCGTCGCCGACGCACGCCGCCGCGGCCGCCGTCGTGGCCGCCACCGCCGACACCGACGCCGACGCCGCCGTCGCCCCCGTGGCCGCCGACGCCGTGGCCGCCGTCGTCGCCGACGCCGCCGCCGCCCCCGTGGCCTTCGACGCAGTGGCCGCCTGTCGCCGCCGACGCCGCCGTCGCCGGAGCCGTCGCCGTGGCCAGCGCCCGCCCGCGGCGAGGGGGCGGGCCTGGGCGCGGGGCCGCGGCGCGGCGCCGCGGGCGGGGCGCCGCGCCCGCCGCCGCGCGCGCGGCGCGCGCGGCGCGCGCGCGTGCGTCCCGCGCGGCGGCAGGGCGCCCTGCGCGGTGGGCCGAGGAGGGCGGTCGCCGAGGCCGTGGGCGGGCTGCGGAGTGGTGGCGTGGGGGGGTCAGCAGCAGGTGCTCGAGAGCCGAGGTGCCCCAGCCTGGCGGGCGCAGCCTGCAAGGGCAGCGCGGCCACTGGCCTGCACTCGCGTGGAAAGTTGCCTGCCATCGTGCGGGCTTGCGTTCCCCGTGCATCGCGTGGCTTCGCGTGCGTTTCTCCACATGGTCCAAGCTGGTCCACATGTTCTTCAGCGGCGAGCCCAGGGGGGAAGGCAGAGAGGGTGGGTCTTGTCAGAAGGCTCGGAAGGCCTCCAGCCTTCTGAGAAGTGTTCTAAGCCGTCTCCGAACACAGAAGAAGGCTGAAGGGCGCCTGAGGAGCCCCGCCGCCTTCGGACAAGGCCCGCCCCCCTGTCAGTTCCCCACGGGGCGCGCCGCCGACGATGATCCCTCTTGAGCGCACGAACGCACGAAAACACGAACACACACACACCGAAAATAACCCAAAGGCCTAACTTCAATGTTTTGCCTCCAGGGCCCTCTTGGGCCGTCTCGGAGTTCTGTTAGGGCGTCCTGAAATCTGGAAGGGCTTGAAGTCGTTCAGAGAGCTGGGTGCTGAGATCAGTGATCTCCGCCCCGCCAGAACCTCCTCCGCATACATGTAAACGTGTGAATACAAATGTGCATATATATATATATATATATATGCACACACTAGAACCACGCGCGCGCTGCGCGCGGGAAGGTTCTAGCGCCGACTCCGCAGTCATTGTCAGTAGGCTTTGCGCGAATCCACACACTCAAATTTACCAAAGGAACAGCGCCCCGGGCGTGGGCCACCCTTAGCGCGTGGTGCCAGGCCTTCTGAGGGATAGCAACGGACTTGTGGGGCAGTCACGGAGTCCGCCGACCCCTTTCGGGTCATCAAGGCGTGCGAGATTCTCCCCCCCATAATCCCCCCCGGACAAGGGGGGTGGACGTGGGTGGGGAGGGGGAGGGGGGGCGGGGGGGGGGAGGGGTGAAGGGGGGGGAGGGGGGGGGAAGGGGAGTGACCAGAAGTGACCATGAAAGGACGAGCGTCCGCAAAACTAAACGGGTTAGGCGGGGACTAATCCGACGATGAGTCCCCGCCTTCACGGTGAGGGATCCTGGTGGGTCGGCGAGCCGCTCCACCCTCACCTCCCACACAGAAAAGGGGCTGCTGCATTCCACTCTCCTCCCGAGCCTCCCTCGCACGCTGGACCGCGTCCGAAGCTTCACGCTGCACTCTGGCCAGCTGCACCGCCTTCGGGGGTCCCCTGTGCGAAGGAAAAATGCCTCGACGAATCCTGTCAAGGTTCTGGGCTCCTTTGGGGGAGGGCTCCTGGCAAGGACGTGCGAGCCACCTACCATCCACTGTGGCGGTCAGCCCACAACAAACACAAAAATGCAGGGAAAACTCAGGCCAATAGAAAATTTTGTGGGACGAGTGGGCCGAGGTGGCCCCAATCAAAATCTCTCCAGTCCTCAAGACAAATTGGCTCCACTCCGACTTCTGACCTCGGATCTCAGGGGCCAGGCCTGGACAAGACTGAGCACAAAACTTGAGGAGCTGGGTGGAAGCCACAATCTGACTGCAAACCCTACAGCGCCACCTGCCCCCGACCTGCTCACAATCATGAGAGGTGCCCCTCAGGGCAGCAGCCTTCCTGGAGGGAGGGGGCACCCGCACTTTGGCGAGCCTTGTGGCCTGCCAAGGGTCAACCTGGAGTGAGCACTGCAACGCACGTCGGGCCCTGCGTCTGACAAGGTGGGCGATGCAATCATAGATGTCAGTACTGGGGGCAGGCTGGCGAGTATACAGGAGCAAGGCCTCGTCAGCCGCTTTACCCGCAAGGTCATCAGCGCACATGTTGCCAGCAGTGAGGAAAACTTGCCAAGCACTGAGAGCCTTGCCTGTGTCTTCTAGATGGGCAGCCGTCCACACGACCTGCACTTCAGCCACCCCCCGATTACGCAACGCCACCGCCACCCTGTACCACAAGTCCTGATTCGGGCCTAGCTTGCCGTGGGCTCGACCTGCTCTCCAACCATCCAGGACAGGCTGGCAATCAGTGATATAAATGATGGGTCCCGTGGTTTCTTCCAGAGCGATGGCAAACGCAGCTATCTCCGCGCGCGACACGGTCTGCCGCGGCCCCAGGAGGGGGGAAGAGACACCCGCGACCGGCTCCCAGGAGCCATCCTCAGCCCGACGAATGAGGGCAACTCCAGAGCCACAGCGCCTGCGTCTCGGGTCACTGCTGTATTTCCCCCCCGACCCATCTCCAAAAATGTGGGGAGGGTCCTGGCCAGGGGCAACACAAAACTCGCTGAGGCGAGAGGAGCCGTAGTACGTAAGAGGAGGGGCCTCAAGAGGGTCAAGGAAGACGGGGCAGGTGAGGTCTCTCGACGGGACTCCTCTCAGCCATAAAGAAGGGTCTGCTTCCCATTGCGCCGTGGCTTGGGAAATCAGTGACTGCGTGCTGCTAAAATCTTGGTGATCTACATTACACGCGCACTGCCATATTCTGTGAAACAAGGTCTCAGGGGCCGCCTTGCACCTTGGACAAGTTACGTCAACCGTGTAGCCACTGTCGGCTTGGCGCTGACGTGGCCATTGGCCCCCCGAGGCCACGCACATGGTGAGGCCCCACAGGTCCGCCTGACCCCGAGACTCGAAGCGACGGAGTTCCTGCTGCAGGGGGAGGAGATCGGCTCCTTCTTTCAAACTGTCGCCTGCCTCGTGCCCTGCAGCACCTTGCCACAACTTAGCCTTCAAATCGGAAACAAACTCATGCAACAAGTCTGCATGGTCAGAAATCGGGAGTAAATCGTAATCTGGGTCGCCCATTCGTGGGAACCTCCACGCATGCTCCGCATGATCGGGTCGCTCCCACAGGTCAGGTTCCCTGGGCTCCCATCCTGCTTCAAGAAGGGTGGCCTGGACTGCAGCTATGGGCCCCCGAATGCCTCTCCACCTTTTGGCGCCAAGCGAATCGAGCAGCGACCGAACGATACCCCACGACCGTCGAATTCGAGGCTGGAGGGCGGGGAAGCGCTTCCACAGCTGCAGCCAGGCGTCCACCAATTGGCGGCGCACTTCCAGGGCGGGATCTCCATCCCCCAGCACCGTCTGCAGAACAGTTGTTAAACATTTGCCCTTGCCCATTCCCGAGACCGTGCGAGCAGCTTGTCGCCTAAGAAGCAGGACCTGACTCGGTGGCATACCATAAACTTGATGGCCAAAGCTGGCCTGTGGTAAGGCTCCCGTGCGCCAAGCGCCCTGGGTGACTTTCCTCAAACCAGCCAGCCTGCGCATCTTCACAATCCTAGAAAAACGCCCGCTGGCTTTAGTCATTCTCTGGCGTGCCTTCTTCCGTGTCCGAAAACGTCCTGCCGCAGTGTCTACACCTAAATCAACACCAACGGAAGCAAACCTAGCGGGCATCCCTCGGGCTCTGAAAATTCTGGCAATGTGCTTACCTAGCTCAGGAGAGGACGCCAAGACAACCGTTTTGTCCGAGACAGTGAGCCTTTTGAGTCTGAATCCCTCCGAGAAAGCTTCAGCTAAACCTTCCATCTCAGAAACAACAGTGGCCTGGGTGCCCTCAGATCTTCCCACAGTGTCATCGACGAAGGTCCATAACGAGGCCTGAGGGGCTCGAATGTGCGCAGCCTCCAGCACAGAATGCAAGAACACTTTTCCAAGGCAGACTCCATGCGACGATCCAGCCACAATCGAGCGGCCTGGGCAGAACGGTTCGCTGATGACCGAGCCCTCCTTGAGGATGCGCGGCGCCATGAAGAGCAGGATCTCCATGAGCAGCACCGTGGGAGGGAAGTTGAGCCCCCGCGCCGCCACCACCAGGAGGGTGAAGGAGATGGAGTCGTAGAACTTGGCAATGTCCAGCAAGACCGTCGCCGTTGCCTTGCCTGTGGTAGCAGAGGCCTCATCCATGAGGCTTCTCGTCATCGCGGCTCTCAGGGCGCTGCTGCCCCTGATGGCCGTGTCCCAGAAAGCAGAAAGTCCATCTGACCAACTGGAGGTGACCGAACTGCGCGCCTGACTCCACGTCTTGCAGCATTGCGGCAACATGCCCAGTACTCTCGTGCCTCCAGCTGGCTTCGGAATAACTGCACAAATAGTAGCTAACCACGCTGTCGGCCAAGTTTGCAGTAGCTCCGCTTGATTGAGGATACACGTGAGCTCAGACAGTCCAGCTTGAGGCATGCGTTGAAGGTCAACTGGGCCCAAGCCATCAACTCCTCTAGCTTTGTTTGGCGATTGTCGTCTAAGAATCGATTCAATCTGTCCTTCATTCAGTGGTGGCAAGGGGTCAGCACGAGCATCCCTGGCCAATCCCTCCAACGTCCATAGCAAGTGCTCCCTGCTGTCATTATCCTCCTGCCACACTGCCTGCCAAAAGTCCTTCTTCGTGCGAATGAGTACGCAAGGGTCGGCGGTGTCCACGCCATCTCTGATGATCTCACGAGGAAGTGGGTCAGGGGGAGGAGCACGTACATGACGATGAATAGCACCTGGCCTCTTGGCCCACATCTGCTTCGCCCAGTCCATGAAGGCTTGGCGAGACTTGACTAATGAGCGCCCCTGGGCGCGGTCGACCCACGTGTTGGCGTGCACCTGGAGCTGCTCCAACTCAGTCTGGCTGAGGTGCGGCGCCTGCTGGGCAGCGTCCTTCCACTCTTGCACTGTGGTGGTCAAGGCCTTCTTCCCGAAGAATTCCTGCTGCTTGGTGTCTGTCAGGCCCTGGACCATGGACCGAAAGCCCGCGAGGCACTTCTCCGCCTCTGGAGGGTCCCTGCCTGAGCGTGTCAAGGCCACGCCTCGAGCAAGCAGCGTGGAGGCGATCCCCCACCATTCGGCTACAGGGTCGCACATGTGAGGTCGACCTGGGGCAGGGCGCATCTTCCTCCATGAAATTGAATACCCTTGCCCTCTGCCGAAAAACATAACGGGGTCTTCCACATCGCTGACCGCAACAATAGACCGCTCCAAGGTAGTGACCCATCGTCCATATCGATTATCCAAGGTAGAGCGTTGAGTGGGCCTCCAGGTCGACAGGGGACCTGTCGACAACTGTGCTGCCGCTGTTCGTGGTCTGAAGGTATCCTGCTCCAATTCGCCATAGATCTGGAGCCATGCTTCCTGCTCCAACTTGAACGCGACCTTGGGGCCTTCTGGCTGTGGCTCCTGAGATGGCAGGTCGTCGAAGGCCTCGCGCAGCTCTTCGGGGAGTTCCTGTCTGCGTGCATCTGCCACCTGCTTGCGCTTCTGGGATCGCTTGCTGTCTGGGTTTGGCTCTTGCTGAGGGCGGTTGGCCCTGGGTAGCGGCTCTGGCAGTTCCAGCGACCTATGCCACCAAGTACGCTTGGCGTCCAGCACATCAATGGCAATAGCGCAATGAGTCTTCCAAGGAACAGCTAAAACTTGCCTGAGCCTGATGCGGTCCGAAGTAAGCTGCTTAGAGACAATGGCATAATCATACATGCGTCCCTGCCCCTTGTCGCACGTGAACTTGCAGTTAGGAAGCGCTAGCCGACCTCTGAGCCTGTCAACCCATCCACTATCCAATAGACTCTGCGGTTCGTTGTTCCAGTCCGCCACAATCACCCAAGGATCTGCCAGAGCTTTGGTAAATGCGCCCAATGCCACCAACACCTCATTGTTGTACTGAGCGATCCCCAGTGACGGTAGCAAGTACGCTGCAATGTAGACGAGGTTGCCCGACTTGAGGTGTAGCGTGGTGGCCGAGAAGCCTTTAAAGGGATCCATGCGCGAGTCGGCAATCGCCTGGTCCCTCAGTCTATCAAACTGTGTAGCGGCCAAGTGACAGCGCGTGAGGAGCCACTCCCCTGCCGAGATGCCTGAGTCCGACCTCCCAGAAGCAAAGCCTGCCTTGAACGAGAGCCTCCACCCGTCCTTCCTGAGTTCCTCTTTCCAGTGGGCGCACTTGGTGTCGGGGACATGCGTCTCGACCAGCCCCACGATGGCGTAGGTGTGCTTGTGACTGTTCACAAAGCTGCGAACCTTAGCGCCCCATTCGGTGATGTTCGCGAAGAGCAGCGTCACATGCTCGTCGGACGTACAGTGCTGCAGAACTGCTGGCTCTTCGTGTGTGGGCGCGCTGTCACCAGCGTGGGTCTGTCTGACACGTTGCTGCGTTTCTGACTCCGCATTACAGTCCCGAGGTCGAGCGGCATCCAGCATAGGCAGACTCGACGAGGAGTTCCCCAAGACACCCAAGATCGCAGGCTCAGGGCCTCCAAGGTAAACATCCCGAGACGGGGTGGGGCTGGAGCCTATGGCGTCAGGCCTGCATCCGATGTTAGATTCCACAGTACAAAGCTCCCCCTCGTCCCCGAACTGGTCATCCAGGTTGGCGAAGGGGTCAGCGTCTGGATCGTCCAAGTCAGCACACCGAGCAGCTCGAACTCCGTCCGCAGGCAGAGGAGCACACTGATAAACGTCTGGAGCCTCCGAAGAATTATGTTGCATGGCGTGTGGAACTGTACTTTGATTGGCCTGTCCCAGACTGGTCTCCGCATCCGCCAACATCACCAGGTGAGCAATGCAAGCGTCAACGTCTGCCTGATCATCCTCTGAGTCGGGCTGTCTGGAGCGAGGAAGCCGCACCGTAGGGAAAGTCGGGCCCAAAAGCCTCCTGAACATGGCTCTCAGCTCATCCAAGTGCGCCCAATGGCGGCGCTGCAGCTGTACACGCCTCTCCATGGGCGCCGTACGAAGCCGCTCAAGGAAGGCCACACGCCTGGGCTCAGACTGCCTCCATGCCGACTCACATAGTTCTTCCATGACAGATTGCAAGGTGCGGCCTGAAAACCAAGCCTGCAACAAACGGCGCAAGGGCTCGTTCCCTTGTCGCTCAAGTATCGCGTGCAGAAACGCCTCGCACCAAAGCCGCCAATCACCACTTCCTGCGTTTAGCCCAAGATGTATGTCAAACCAAGCCGCTGCCCATTCTCTGAGGTCAGCTCGCATATCTGCATAGTCTTGAACTGCCATCGCTCTGGTCTCGTCAGCAGGCGGCAGGCCCATGGCCTGTGGTGACTCGGCAGCCGTCTCGTCATATCCAACGTTGCCAGCCTCCCAAGGTAGGCGAGTCCAGCAAACTCCTGCGCCCCCACCCACTCGCGCTGAGACCCCCGCCTCCTGTGGAGAGGGTGCCCTGGCGGGTGGAAAGCACAGGTGCGACTGTGAACCTGCACTGCTCTGGGCAGCCCAGGATTTACGTTCTGACGCCTGAAGCCCTCCTGCCGTCTCAGTAACTGACCGTGTGGAAGGCGATGTCCCAGGAAGGACGCGGCTCTTCTGAGTATCCGTAGCGCCTGTGGCGCCAGGCGGGCTCGCCCCCGCCGAAGCCGTGCTGAACGCTGTCCAGGACGGCATAGAACTCGGTGTACACGTCGAAGGGGTCCCCGTCACCACGTCAGAAAGCGAATGAGGGGCCCAGTCCATCATAGCTCGAACCTTCTGAATTGTGTCTAGCGCTTCGTAGCAGAATTTGTCAGACCACATAGCTCGACCAGAGGGAGCACATGCGTGAGCAAGAACATGGTATGCACATCCAAAGGGAATGTCCGTGCCTGGGTAGCATTGGAAGGGCGGTGTGCGCGAGATGAGCTTGAGCACACCCATTGACACAGATGTCCCACAATCAGGTAGCTGCTGGGCCCTCATGGTTGGGGCCCCCCCTGCGCTCGAACTTGGCCAATCGCTCGCGGACAGAGGCGAACTGTGCCTGCTGCTCTGGTCGGGAGACCTGTCCATCTGAGCCTTGGCCCTGGGGCTCGGACGTGGTCTCTGCGCCATCACCACCAGCACTAGCTGTCTCTGGCTGGGAACCCTCTGCACCTCCAGGCTTGGACTGGGGTTCCATGTCCTCAACATCCTGCACGCGCCGACGTTTGGCGAGTAGCCGTGTCTTCTGTGATTCATGCTCCTGGACCACGCGCTTGGCCTCGTCCAGCGCTGAGGAGAAAAGATCCTTGGCCTTCGTGGAAAGGAGCTCCCGCAACTGTGTGGTACGTTCTTCGATCCGTAGACGATCCTCCTCGTCCAGCTCCAATCCTTCAGGCATGTCTGAAAGGAGGCCCAGGTCGAAGTCCAGGGTGCCCACCTTGCCAGAAACGAGGTCCTCCAGCTTGATCCGCGCAGGCGCAGGTCCAGGTTCAGGAGTGGCAGCTTTGCCCGTGGCCGCAAGCTTGCGGGCGAGCTCAGCGTGCTGGGTGTCCATGATCTCCAACTCTGCACGAAGGCCCATGATGTAGTCCTCGTGCTCCTGCAGCTGGGCCTTCCACTTGTCGTGCTTATCCAGTTCACGAGAGAGCCGTTGAAGGAGCTTGTCACATTCACGTCGCGATTCTGCCAGTCGCTGTTCCATGGTCTTCTCGATGACTGGGGGAGCAGGCTTTGCCAGGGTGGTGATGCGTGCCTGAACTCGCGTGGCCAAGTTCTTGTCACCCGTCTTGTTGGCGATGGCCAGCAGAGAACCCAACTCAGCAGCATCCAGGCCATCAAGATTCGTCCAAGCCAGTGCTGGCGTGGAGGAGTTCGGCCCTGGCTGGAGGCCGGCGGCCAGCGGCAGACGGTGCTCTGAACCCTGACGGCTGTCATTCCACGACTTGTCTGATCCTGACCACGACTTGCCTGCCCAAGACGGCCAGTGCTGCGGCTGGGTCCATCCTGGTTCTGGTGTGCGATATGAAAAACAATGTTTGCACCACTGCCATCTCTCCTCGTTGCGTGCACATCCGCACTGACCACATCGCCACGTGGGCCCTGAGGCTGGGGGCCTGTGTAGCTTGCGTCGTACAACAGTGGCTTTCTTATTCGTCGACCCGTCCGCTCGCCAAGGGGCTGAGAGCAAATCATCCGTTCCCATCGGCGTGCCGTGGCTGGCAAGAACAAGAAAGGTACGTTAGTATGCCTGGCAAACGCCAGGAGAGCTGTTGGGGCCGCGTGCACCTCTGAGGCGCCCCCTTGCCAGAATGCTCACGTCCGCTGCTGACGCTTGGGCCACGCTACGGACTTGAGCCAAAATGGCTACGGAGGGGGGGGAAGGGGGAGGAGGGGGGGGGAAGGGGGGAGGGGGAAGGGGGGGGGGGAGGCGGGGGGAGGGGGGGGGGAGGGGAGGGGGAGGGGAGGGGGAAGGGGGGAGGGGAAGGGAGGGGGGGGGGAGGGGGAGGGGGGGGGAGGGGGAGGGGGGGGAGGGAGAGGGGGGGGAGGGGGGGGGGAGGGGGGGGGGGGGGGGGGGGAGGGAGGGGCAAAATTGCAGCTGGAAGTGCTGAGCGACATTTGCCCGTTTGACAATGGGATCCCACTGTCAAAGGGGCAATCGGCACCATTCCCCTTCAGATTTCCTGTTTGACAATGGGGATCCAATTATAAAATGGGCAATCGGGTACCCCGATGACCCATTTGACAACGGGATTCCCTTTGCCACTTGGGCGATCGGAGCTCAATTCGCCCGCCTCGGTCTAGCCCCCTCGATTGATCATTTGAATGCGGTCCCCCCCACCGTCAAAAAGCCAATCGGACATCAATTCCCGCTACTATCGCCCCCCCCCCCGACCCCCGATTGACAGTGGGCCCCCACTGACAAACGGGCAACCGGAGCTCGAGGGCCCCACTGCCAGATGCGCTGGCGACCTCCTCCCCCGCGCCTTGGCTGGGCCTGCACGTTTGCAAATGGAGCTTCACTGTCAAACGGCCAGCCCTCCGAATGGCTGCCCATTTTGCAATTCGGCCCCCAGAGCTACCCCCATGCTGCAAAGGCCTCCCGGAAGACCACCGAAGAGCCGGGCAAGAGCATCCTGATGACCCCATCACGAGCTTCGTAACGACAAGGGCCCCAGAAAGCGGCACTTCACTAACAAACCATGGAGCATCGAATTTGGCAAAGTACTTTTTCGGCCTCCCAATGCTCGCGCCATCCAGAGCGTCTCCATGGCAATTTCCACCGCTCCTTTGGGTGCGCGGCCATCCCATCTGCATCGATAGCAAAATCATCGCGGCCGGTTAGCACCAAAACATGAAGTTCGAAGCAATTGGATGCAGGCGGTGAACCGTCAAACTGGCCACTGCCGGAGACCTCGTAGAGTTCCTCGCGCGCGTTCTATTCCTGGTGGCCACAAGTCTTCGCTCCACCGAATGCCTCATTGGTAAAGTGCCGCAGTGCGTCCCTCCGCCCGTATGGGGACACCCCTCAAACATTCCGTGGCCCCGCGGGTGACCGGCTGGTCTAATTGGCGTCAGCAGTTGTCACAGTTCTTGCCCCTCGAAGCATAGTGAGGCGCTGGGGCATAAGAACAATTCGCCCCACGCGGCTAAAAATACAGCGCATGCGCACTTGTGTGACTTCAAGGACTTCACAACGAGCTCAATGGGAGTCGCGGAAGAGTCTTATTTATCGCTTCGCTCATTCCGCCGGTCCTGGAGCGCTACTTGGGTCCTCTTGGGGCCGTCTTGGGGGCCTCTTGGGGGCTTCTTGGAAGCGTCTTGGGGCTCCTTGGCGGCGTCTTGGGCTCCCCTGGGCCCCTTGGGGCGGGAGGGGGGGTAGTCGATTGCAGCCACCCCCTCGGAGGCCACGATCCTCGTGAGGACTTCACGACGAGCTCAATGGGAGTCGCGGAAGAGTCTTATCGGAGCCCTCCTGGGGCAGTCTTGAGGCCCTCTTGGGCCGTCCGTGGGACTTCTCGGCCCCATCTTGGGCCCCTACGAAGAGCTCCCTTGGGCCCTTTTCGGATGCGCCTTTGGGCTGTCCTGATCCGTAGATAGATAGATAGATAGATAGATAGATAGATTGATTGATTGATTGATTGATTGATTGACTGATTGATTGATATGTTCTGACCATTTTGGGGTCCTTTTGGGCGCCTCTGTGTCCCGCGCAGCCCTCTTGCATTCGTCCTGAAAAAAAAAAGAAATGACACAACGATTACAAATAAGGCTGCCGCTTGGTTTGATTGATGCTGGTCGCCTGGATCTCCTCGTGGGACCCCCTGGGACCATCTTGAAGGCATCCTGGGTCACTCTCGGGCTGTCCTGAGGCCCTCGTCGGCAACGTTAAGCTAAAACAGAA